GTTTTTCTTTCTACAGTGGCCATTGTGGGGACTTGTGCCTCTGACTGTTGTTTTAACCACATTTCTTTTGGGTTGGAGGTGGCTCTGTCTTTGGCACGGTCACTAGTTCAGGTGATACTGTTCGTGTCTCACCTGTGCATGATGTATGCTGGCCCATCCAGCCCCCACCTGGCAGCTCACCCCAAAGCCTTCACTCCTCACCGTGGCCAAATACATCTGCATCCCAGCTGTCCCCACCCATGGCAGGAGTGACCCAGGACCACACTGTGAATTGGCTGCATCCTGCCCCTGTGAACCTGGAGCATGTCCAAGTACAGGACCTTCTGGAGGCCCCCCTTCTCCCACTCTGCAGCCCCTTCCCAGGCTGCTGGACCTCCCTCGTCTCTGCCTTCATAGCCCCCAGGCCCTCCGTCTGGTCTTGAGGTGTCCAGCACCTCACCCACTGAGTGTGCTCCCATCCACTTGTCATCCTGAAGTTCTCGTGTCATTTCCGTGGCCTCCCTGTTCTTTTGCTCAGAGCTCAGCTTGGCCTCTAACCCAGTGCTTGCTTGTCAGGGATGCCCCCCTACGCCTTGCCGGCACTGCTCCCCAGGTCTTGGGGTGTGCCTGTCTGCCCTTTCCATGGGAGCAGCTGTCCAGCATGGGCCCACCTGGCTCCTAATTTCGCCTCCCCTCCCAGTGTCTGTGCAGGTTGGCTGTGGTGAGTACTCTGGCCCTCCATTGGTAACACATCTTCCCCGGCTCCTGAGTGTCACAGCAGAAGCAGCACAGACACCCACTTCTGCATTGTCATTGTGTGGGAGCAGGCAGCTTAGAGCTCAGCCAGGGAGTGCCAGCCACCCCCCCCCAAGGGTGAGGGGACTCAGGCTCAGGTGGGTGCCAGTTCCCCCTCCAGAGGCTACCAGATCCTGTCCCACACTGATCGCTTGGCCTGAAGCACCTCTTACTGGCCCCCCTTAGGTTCTGTGCAGTGCACTGAGTCTTGGATCCACTGGCAATGCTTTTCCTTGGTTATTAAAGAGTAAGGATGTTAAGCTGGGCATAACGGCAGATGCCTGTGATCCCAGTGGCTCAGAAGGCTGAGGCAGGAGGATTGCAAGTTCTAGGCCAGCTTCTGCAATGTCACAAGATCCTGTCTCAAAATAAAAAGGACTGGAGATATAATTCAATGGTAGAGCACCCTGGTTTCTAGCCCCAGTACTGCAAAAAGAAAAGAAAAGCAAACATTAAATGACTTAGGACCTCACCATCCACAAGGTGAGCACGATGAGCCCTCACAGAGTTGAAAGGAGACCCTTCCTGGGACAGTGCCATAGGAATCACCAAGATGCAGTCCCTGGGTTTAGTGGTTTTGTGTTGACAGCTGTGGAGGAGCTGCATGATACGAGTGATTATGATGTGAGTGATTGCACTTGGAAGCTTAGTGCAAAGAAGCCACATTCTCCACCAGAGTCCATGGCAGCCAGCACCTCCCCACTGGTGTGGAGAGAAGGAACAGGGAGGGGTGCAATAGTTCTGGGTCTAGACCTAAGTGGGGACAGGAAGTGTGGATTCTTAAAGGTGAGGGCATGTAGTTGAAATGAGTTCCATTGGGCCTCCGTTCTCCTGCAGAGGCACTGGCTCTCTGCTGCCCAGGGAAGCCTGTGCTGGTCAAGAGCTAGCAGCAGAACACTCCAGCACTTGGCTCTTTGGCCCTGGGCAGCATGCTGGTGGTTTATTTTCCCTGGGGATGCATCTTCTGCCACACTGAAGGGGAGAACAGTGACTGCCTGGGTACTTAGCACAGCTGCTGAGATTTGACAAGATCCAAGCAAAGAAAACAAGCAAATGGGGCTGCAGTGACCTCCCCTTCCTGGTGTGTCCAAAAGCTACAGCCACCAGGCAGCTTCTGCATCCCTTGGGATGAATGGGCCCACCTTGCCAAGACCGTTCTGACCTGGGGAGGGTAAGGGCAGAGGGTCCCGACCCTGGGCCATGCTCAGCAGGGCCTGCTGTGTCCATGGAGAAGGCTGCACACAGCTCCTTGCCAGTGGAGACAGCTGTCTCCCGTCTCTGTGCCTCCTAGCACTCAGGTGTGTCTCTCTGTTCTGGCATTGTGTATCAATCACTTTGATTGGTGTCAGTCACACTGCATGTTACAATTCTGCCCCTGACGTCACAGAATGAGGTGGCAGGCTCCAGGCACTAGGGAACAAGTCCCCCAGAAGATGTGGCCTACACAGTGATTGTCACCAAACCAGCTGTGCCCTGGCCCAGGGTAGCTGGGAGGTCTCAGCAAGGCCCTGGGTCCAGAGGGTGGCTGTGTGGGGTGTGCTCTGCTGCCCTGGGGCTTGGGGGTTTCTCTCACCTACCAGGGGGAGATGGGGTTAGCACCTGTGGACTTAAAGATGCTTCCTCAGAATGCGGCATCTCTGCAGCAGCTCACGGGCCTGTTTATCAGGGGCCTCCCACACACCCCTTGGGCCTAAGATTCACAGGACACGTGTCACAGCCATGTGAAGCACAAGTGGATTTAGCGCACTGTTAGCGTGGGTATACAGAGCAAGATCTGGCGGGCGGGACTTGAAGTGGGTCCTTAGGCTGAGGCCTCCGGCTGTGTTTTCTGGTGGAGTGTGTAGCTCCAATGAGGGACTCAGGGCTCCCCCATTTCCCTCTAGATAGGGTGGGGGACCAGGGCTCACTGCCTACAAGCAGCTGCCTGCCATGGTTTCTCTCACCTGCATCAGACCTGCTCATTCTAGGGCCTTCCTAGGTGGCACTGCAGCCACGTCGCCCTGCAGGAAGCATGGTGGGCCCAGCAGGCCTTGAGTCTGTCAGGAGGACTCAAGTGCTGTGTGATGCCCTGGTGCCGACTCCCTGCACAGAGCCCTAGAGTGCACCGGGCACCCTGTGCCCAGGTGGGGCAGTGCTCAGGAAGTGGAGCTGCCACTGGGCCCTTTGGTGATAGCCCCCAGATGCACAGAGCTGGGTGAGGGCCAAGAGTGTTGAGGCTCGTGGCCCAGGAGGCCTGAGCCCTGACTGCTGCCTTCAATGCCACGTGCCTGTTCTGACACTGCCCTGGAGGGGTGTCCATGCCTCAGTGACCATTGCCCCTGGACAGCTGGGCCCTTCCACCTGCGGGCAGGGCCTGTCAGAACCATCCAGTGTGGCCCATCCCTGTGTTGCCTGCCCCTTCTGTATCAGGTCCAGGTCTTCTGAGGAGCTAGCCATCAAAACACAGACCAGTGGACACCTGGGTGCTGCGGCTCACTAGGTTGCTGCGCTCTCCTGGCTGGTGGAAGCGGGTGGACACCTGGGTGCTGCGGCCCACTAGGTTGCTACACTCTCCTGGCTGGTGGAAGTGGGTGACCCTCACGAGGGCCTGGCAGCGGGAGTGCCCTTGGAGGGTGTGGTGCAGCTCTTTTTTCCCCTATTCCAATTGGTTACACGTGATAGCAATTGCATTTCGACTCGTTGTTCATGATGGAGCACAGCCTTTCATTTCTTTGGTTGTACATGATGTGGAGTCACTGTTTGTGGATCTTGCCCAAACCTAGGGTGATGACGTCCTTCTCCTTTCACATCTTTCCCATCCCCACACCCCCTTCCTCTTCCTCCTTCCCCTCTGCCAATCCAGAGTTCCTGTAGTGCAGGCTCTTGCTGTCTCAGTTTTGGATCCAGAGTTTTGTGAAAGCAGCAGCCCCCCACACACTATTTCCATCACTTGCGTCTCATGTCAGCATGGTACACACTCATGGGAACTGATGTCCACTTGATTCACGTCTCCCTGGGTTTCCTGGCCTGGGCCCCAGGGGGTACGTAGTCTCTGGGGCTCCTCTCAGACTTCCCTGTTTCTTTCTTTTTTTAATATTTATTTTTTAGTTTTTGGTGGACACAATATCTTTATTATTATTATTTTTTTTTATGTGGTGCTGAGGATCGAACCCAACGCCCCGCGCATGCCAGGCGAGTGCACTACCGCTTGAGCCACATCCCCAGCCCCAGAATTCCCTGTTTCTGACACCGGGGTGGTTTGGGGAGCCCCTCCATTGGGACTGGCCTATGGTTCCCATGGCTGGACAGGAGCTGGACTTGGGAGGGAGAGTCAGGGAGGCACCTGCATGTACCCAGCAGGACTTTCTCCTGTCCTGTGCCCAGGGCAGGAAGGCCATGCAGCCCACAGCAAGACTCTGCTTGGGACTCTGTCTCTGGTCCCCCTTGATTTGCTGAGCAACTTGTGTCAGTGCAGACTTGTGAATGTCTGTCTATAGCTATGATTTAATATTAATTAGGTCCCATGTTATCAGCTTTTAATCTTAAAGTAATCTCTACACACAGTAGCACTCCAGGGTGGATGAGGGGTGCTTCCACACCTGCCAGTACCTATGCGGCCTTCCCTGTCCCTCCTGGTCCTCTGCAGCCACACGTGCACATGTGTGTAAACATGGCGACTCTTGCTGTGAACCACCCTCAAAGCAAATGGCCCTGTCCCCAGCACCCTGCGGGTGGTGTCTCAGGGGGAGCCCCCAGTAGCATTGACTTGGCAGGCCACTTCAGCAAATCCAGGAGCACTTGGGCCACTTGGGCTGTCATCGTCCTGCCCCTGGGGGCTGACAGGTGGCAGTGTGGTAGTGGCCCACTGGTGCCTTGCTCCACCTGAGGGCAGACTCCTCCTGTGGAGTCTTCTGGCGAGCCTCCATCAGGGAAGGGTGCCCCCAGCCGCGACCTCCCACGCCCACTTGAGCAGGAAGCCTTCCACGGACCCCCTTGGCAGCACAGCCTGTGATGGGCTCAGACTCGTGCTCTCAAGGCGTCCTCATGGGGTGCGGGGAGAAGGGTGGTTGAGGGTACATGCCCACCCAGCTCCAGGCCCTGGTCCTGCTCTCAGAGCTCCAAGTCTCCTTTCCACAGAAGCACGTCTGCCATTTGGGTGATGTCTCGGGTTCTCATTTGACCTGGGCACAAAGCTTGGTTGGCGTTGGCCCTGCTGAGCCCTTTGTGTGTTTTGCTTCCCCAACCAGGCTGGGAGTCGCAGCTGCTGGAAACAGGGTTCCTGGGAATCTTCCTGTGCCCCTGGTGGACTCTGTCCCGACTGCCCCGTCACACCCCCACGCCCTGGACAGTGCTGTGGGCCTTCCGTTGGCTCATCTTCAGGATCATGCTTGGAGCTGTGAGTAGGACTTTTGTTGGAATATTTCAGGAATGATGTGCCCAAGACATGTCTGGTAGCTCTGCTGGACCTCCTGCAGACCCTCCAGCTGCCCTCTGGCCCTGCACAGAACGCTTTCTGTGGGAAACAGTAAGGGCCTGGGGCCTGTTCTCCAGAAGGTGCAGGAGGAGCCAGTGATTGGTTTTTGGTGTCCTCCCACAGGAGTGTCAGGCTTTCCAAGGACAGGAGTGACCTGCCACCTTAACGAGGTGGAGGTGGACCTCCGCAGTCCAGCACCTGGGAGCTGCTGGCTCCACCCTACATGTCTGTCTGGTCTCCTTGGGACTCAGTGTAGCTGACCTCGAGGCATCTCAGACTCCATGGGTGTGTGCAGACTTCCTTCCTGTAGGGCAGTGTGCATCTCGTCTGTCATGTAGCACGAGTGTGACATCTTGTGTGTCCTTTGCCTGGAGCTGCTGCCTGTGCCCTGCTGTGCCTTTCATAGCTCACTGGAGGCTGGAGGCCAGAAGCTGAGGATAGAGGCTCTGCCACTCTTAATTCCATAGTCACCCTGAGAGTTCCAGAAGCGGGAGGGAGGAGGTTCCCGTGGCTCCTGCCTGTGCCACAGAGGGCAGCCGAAGTTTGCTCACCTTCTCTGCTGATCCTGGTTAGTGAGCTCTTCATGTTTCCGCTAGAATAATCACAGAAAATTGTTTTTCCACCTTGGAAACTCGGCTCTGCTTCTGCTCGCCCTAAGTCCTGTGGAGATCTCCCCCTGGCGCAGGAGGCGTGGCACGAAGGACAAGTCTTTTGTGCCACCTGCTGGCAGGCTGCTCCCATGGGGGGGGCGTGGCTCTCCACCAGAGCCTCCTTCAGTCTAGAATGTTCCACACTGTTCCCTGCCTGGCCTGACTTTGACTCTTGGGCTGGTCTGGTAGCCTCATGGCTCTCCCTGCAGTGCATCATGGGAGGTGGCCCTGCCCACCCTGTTCTGGGCAGCTGCCGCACATCCCCTCTGAGCAGGCATTGGTGCTGGCTCAGGAGGATACCCTGTTGCGATACAGCATTTGTGAGGAGCCCTCTGGGCCATGGGGGCGTGAACTTGCAGGACCTCCTCCCAGCTCCTTGAGGTGGTAACCAGCTCCTGGCCTGACCAGCTTTGCAAATAGCTCCTCTGTGAGGGAGCAGCAGGCCAATTCTCAGGTGAGACAGGCTCCCAGGACACAAACGGCCACTCCTTTACCACGAGCTGCAGGTCGCTTATGATGGAGCTCGCTTATGATGGAGCTCGCTGTATGGCCTCAGTCAGGAAACCCCCATGGAGAGGTCCCCTGGGCCTTCTGGGCAAGGATGCTGGGGTTTGTTGTTTTTAAAATTTTTTAGTTGTAAATGGACATAACTTTATTTTTTCCTACGAGGTGCTGAGGATCGAGCCCAGTGCCTCCCACACGCTGGGCAAGTACTCTACCACTGAGCCCCCACCTCAGCTCAAGGGTGCTATTTTAATCAACTTTTTCGTCACTGTGACCAAAAGACCCAGCAAGAACAATTAGCGGAGGAAAAGTTTATTTGGCTCACAGTTTCAGAGGTCTCAGGCCATAGACAGCCAACTCCATAGCTCTGGGCCCAAGGCGAGGCAGAACCTCTTGGCAGAAGACTATGGTGGAAAAAATCAGCTCAGAACATGGTAGACAGGAAGCAGGGACAGAATATAAACCCAAAGTCATGCCCCCAGTGACCCACCTCCTCCTGCCACACCCCACCTGCCTGCACTCCCACCCAGGTAATCCCTCAGTGGATTAATGCACTGTCAGGTCACGGCTCTCTTAAGCGAGTCATCTCACCTCCAAGCCTTCTCACACAGCCTCCCACGTGAGCCTGTGGGGACATCTCGCATTTAAACCAGAGCAGATGTGCAGGTGGACATCCCCAGGCTGGCTGCCGTGCCTTTCCCTTCCCCCGACTCTAGTGCTCCTGTGCAGGGTGTCACTGCAGGTCCAGCAGCACCCAGGTGATGGACATGCTGACCTGTGCCTTGTATGAATGGCAGTCACCAGGAGCACCTGAGAGGCTGTCTCTGGGCAGTGGGGACCCCAGCAGCCCCCCAGATCCTACTGTTTTCATATGTGGATGTGGAAGCCACCTGATTCCCAGTGCCCACTGCACTTCCCTGCCTGATATGTCATCCAGTGTGTCAACCCTCTGCAGCAGGGTACCTCTGCATCTCTGTCCTCCTGGATGGGGGCTTCCAGGAGGGCCCTGGAGGCAGCAGGGCATAGCCCGCCACATCCACTGCCATGGACAGCCAGCAGCCCCCTAGCTGCCCACACTGTGCTTTGGTCTCTCAGGCTTTGTGTCCTGCCCGAGTCAGGTGTATGTGGGACCATGGCAGCCAGGCGAGAGGGCAGGCAGGTGTGTGGGGCCCTCGGAGAGCAGGGGACTGCAGGTACAGGAGGTTGGGGTGCCCGTGACGGGCAGCTCAGCAGTGGCCCTGCTTCCAGCCCCACAGGCTGCCACTGTCTCCCAGCCGCTCTCCAGTGGAGGAGGAGGATGGGGTACTTCCTGAGGCACTCAGCTGTCCCTGGAGACCATGCCATTGTCTGGCGGTGGGTAGGAGTGCAGATGCCCCCGATCGTCAGTCAGCACAGAAGGAGAAACCTTTCAGACTGTCGTGGAGCTTCTTGGGCATGGCGGTGCAAGCCAGGGCCTGGGAGCAGGAGCCCAGCCCCTGGAGGAGCAGTGGGGCTGTTTGTGCGTGGCTCTGGTGCCAAGAGTTGAGCAGCCCCCCGGGAGCCTGACAGAGCGTGCAGTCATTAGTACATTCTCAGGAGCCATTTATGGCACTTTGATTGACTGTTAGTGCCAGCTGGATGGAAATTGCCAGGTGACTAAAAGGTATAATCACTGATATCGTCTTAGGTTGGATATTATTAACCTGCAGTGGGAAGCAGAGCATCAACTTGATGACAGTGACAGCAGCCATGGGCCCTATGTGGGGTGGGCAGGCGTGGGTCCTGTGTGAAGTGGGCAGGCATGAGTCCTGTGTGAGGTGGGCAGGCGTGGGCCCTGTGTGTGGGGTGGACAGGCGTGGTCCTGCGTGGGTCCTGTGTGGGGTGGGCAGGCGTGGGTCCTGTAGGAGGGCGGGGCGTGGGTCCTGTGTGTGAGATGGGCGGGCGTGGGTCCTGTGTGAAGTGGGCAGGCATGAGTCCTGTGTGAGGTGGGCAGGCGTGGGTCCTGTAGGAGGGCGGGGCGTGGGTCCTGTGTGTGAGATGGGCGGGCGTGGGTCCTGTCTGGGGTGGGCAGGCGTAGGTCCTGTGTGTGGGGTGGGCGGGCGTGGGCCCTGTGTCTGGGGTGGGCAGGCGTAGGTCCTGTGTGTGAGGTGGGCGGGCGTGGGCCCTGTGTCTGGGGTGGGCCTGCATGGGTCCTGCATGAGGTGGGCAGGCATGGGCCCTGTGTGTGGGGTGGGCAGGTGTGGGCTCTGTGTATGGGGTGGGCAGGCGTGGACCCTGCATGAGGTGGGCGGGAGTGGGTCCTGTGTGTGAGGTGGGCAGGCGTGGGTCCACTTTAGGGTTGGCATGTGTGGGGCATAGCTAGGCCTGTGTCCCCCCAGCCCTCTGCTCCCCCAGCCCTCTGCCCCCCCAGCCCTCTGCCCCCCCCAGCCCTCTGCCCCCTAGCCCTCTGCTCCCCCAGCCCTCTGCCGCCCCAGCCCTCTGCTCCCCCAGCCCTCTGCCCCCCCAGCCCTCTATCCCCACTAGCCCTCTATCCCCCCTAGCCCTCTATCTCCCCCAGCACTCTGCCCCCCATCCTTCTATCCCCCAGCCTTCTACCCCCCCAGCCCTCTATCCCCCAGCCCTCTGCCCCCTAGTCCTTTATCCCCCCCAGCCCTCTCTCCCCGCCAGCACTCTGCCCCCCCAGCCTTCTATCGCCCCAGCCTTCTATCCCCCCAGCCCTCTATCCACCCAGCCCTCTGCCCCACAGCCCTCTGCCTCCCCAGCCCTTTATCCCCCCCAGCCCTCTATTCCCCCCAGCCCTCTGCTCCCCCTCAGGCCTCTGTTCCCTCCCAGGCCTCTGCTCCCCCCTCAGGCCTCTGTCCCCCCAGCCTTCTACCCCCCCAGCCCTCTAGTTCCCCCCCCATCCCTCTGCTCCCCCAGGCCTCTGCTTCCCCGGCCTCTGCACTCCCCAGCCCTCTACCCCCCCCCAGCCCTTTATCCCCCCAGGCCTCTGCTCCCCCCCCAGGCCTCTGCTCCCCCTAGCCCTCTGCTCCCCCACCCCCTGCCCCCCCACCCCTCTGCTTCCCCAGCCTTCTGACCCCCCACCTCTCTGCCCCCCCCAAGCCTCTGCTCCCCCAAGCCCACTATTCCCCACAGGCCTCTGCCCGCCCCAGGCCTCTGCTCCCCCAGGCCTCTGCTCCCCCAGGCCTCTGCCCCCAGGCCACAGGGGCGCTGAAAGTCCTACTCAAAGCCAGTACTAAGGGACTGTGCTCTGGCATTTCACATTCCCTGGCAGCTGGCGGGTCCCTGAAGCTGATCCTGATGGAGCCCCAGGGCCCGAGGCAGGGTGCCTGAGTGAGGAGCTCACAGAAGTGCTGCTTCTCCCAGCGCCAGGTGTCCAGGGCCTGACCCCTGGGGTTCTCTGTGCAGGCCCAGAAGTAGGCACAGGCCACCATCTCCCTGTGAGACACAGCTGCTCCTGCTGCATGCTGCAGACCATGTGGAGTGGGGTCTGCAGGGACTCACCTGGGCCTCGTGGCCCTCGTTTCTGTGGTGGCATCTCTTCCACCATGGCCCAGGGGAGGGCATGCAGAGAAGGCAACCGGAAGTGGAGGGGGTGGTCAGCCTTCCTGTGAGTCCTGCTGGAGGGCTGTGGGAAAGAATCAGTCAGCAGCCCCCCTGAGGGTTTTCCTCGCCATTAGCCCTGCATTCCAGCAGTTCAGTCTTCTGGGCAGCATGAGGAACTGGCGAGGTCACACGAGTCTTTGTCACAGCCACCTGATGGCCACGGGGGCTCTGGCTTGGGGAGTC